GATGAGTTTTGGGAATAATATTGAATTTGATGCAATGGATTTTAATTCTCTCTTACTTGTCATTCTTCTTCAGTTTAGGAGCAGCATTGTTATTGTCAGCATCAAATTCCAATGCTTTACCGGAACACTTCATAACTATATTATGGTTACGGTTGGAAAATGCCAAGTCAGCTAGTCGTGTCCAAATCTGTAATTCAACTAATGGGTCTGACCACTGACATGTATCAACCATGTTAACAGTCTAGAAAGTAAACAAAGAATGAATAATTAATTAATATTGAACAAAAAATGAAAGAACTGAATTCATTTTTGGGGAAAAGCTAATTAACATAAGGTCTGGAAGATGAGAAAACGACTCACTAGAGTTTGATTATTACTGGTATACCCAGTAGTACTTGATATTTAACATCAAAGATTCAAGACTCACGTCACTTCCGAAATTAAACTTTGGGATCGTCAACTTACTTCAGCTAAAGGTGGTCCTTCTTTGAAATCGTTCAATCCTTTGCCATTTAATGATAACATCTCGGTTGCCACCAGACATCTTGTCATAGGTCGCTGACCTTGGCCATTTACCTACAATAGTAAAATTAGAAAATACATAATGTAGGAGATCCTATCAAGAACGTATTTTGTTTGTGCCCATCAAACTTATCTTTCCACATTTGGCAATCTAGCCTACAGTGGATTTTAACAAATAATTTGATTTTTTTTCTACTACAAATCAAAGATATGACTGATACAAGTTTAACTTACATCATCCTCGCATCCCAAAGATCTGTGTATTTGTTGACCAAGTAGTTGTTTACTATGAACCCATATTTGTAGGAGTGGATGGCGTACATCTATTGGAATAATATCCATCTTTCTAGTACCGTTAGTGACATCAATACCATACTCACATACCTATGATTTGACAAATTGAAACACATTAGATTTGGCTTTCCATCATTCTAATTATTACGGTAAATATACATGTCAGCTACACAAAGCATTGTTAATTATTACACTTTGGAGGCAAATTGCTGCTGTTATCTCATGAGAGAATGATGAGACACATCTTTAACCCATCAATAGTGTTCTATTCTCTCTTGTCGATTATGTATTTGGAACAGTTGATGTGATGGAGGAAGGGAATGAAACGTTATTTGAGGGGCAAAAACAAGAAGAGTGGATTTTTGCTCACAACCAGATCTCAGTGGTTATTTGCTTTTAAAGTTTAGTTTTTATGATGTTTTCAATAAATTGTTATGTAATATACTTCTCTATAGTTGTGTATATACATGTATATATATTGTATCTCAACTTTTATTATAATTGAGCATCAAATAATAAAAGATATAACAAATTTCAATATTTTTACTAAGTTAAAATTGAAATGAAATAAATTATAGAATGAAAGTGGGTACATTTCTGTCAACATCAGAGAACTCACCTCAACGGCTTTCTTGATATCATCCATTCCTTGTTGATCAACTGATAAGCTCTGGATCTTGCTTTTAGGACTTGGAATGGATTTAGGTTTCTTTGGTGAAGCGACCTTGTCTGCGGACACCCCTTTGGTTGGTGACACCACAGAATCCCTGGTTGGTGCTTCAGGTATCCACGGTTTAATGTAACCAAAAGCCAATGCTGTACACAGCTGTACCAGCAACACAGTCTCTCTGAAATATAAAACATTTTTCAGTTACTGTGGGTGCAACATCTGTGTGTGTTGTATGTGTTTTGTAATCATGTGCAATCTAAGGATTCAGTGAAGTGCAGACAGAATGGCTGTTTAGGGTTATTAAGAGATGTTGTGCCCACAGTAAATTACATTAAATCATTTACAGTCTGAAATTCTTTAAAGGCCAATGTAATTTACCAAATTAAATACAAAGAGAATATTTTTTTTAAATTAAGATTAGACTTCAACATAAAACAAATGACAAATCCAGAGTGCACACAGCAGAAACAGGGAAACATGGGCCTTTAAATGTAGACAGGTAAGAACAATACCAAAGGATTCTATTTTTTTATTTTAATTGAAGAAGAATTATTTACATATCACTAAGTTGTCAGGCTATCTTGTGTTCATTTTTTGTTTTTCAGTGTCTTGAGAAATTTTAGTTTAGTTATCAAGTACTGAGCTCATATGTATATAAATCATCCAATACTTTTAACCTTTATCCTGTCAGGTCCATGTACTTTTACATTGACTTCACCAGATAGGAGTTAAATACTGGTTTTAGCTCTGATATTGATTTGAGTATGTTTTATATAAACATGTACAAGCAGTTTTCTTGGAAGAGGACTAGTGGCTACGCAACCAATCTTTTCCGTATACCGTGTCAAGGAATACAAGTCACTTAAAGACAAGTGCGATTCTTATTAATAATCGAGGGGGGGGGGGTAGTTGTGATTATTAAATAACTTACCCAGCATGTCCCACTACTTTCAATGCATCCAGCAATGCAGCCAGTGGACTGATAATTTCTCTGTGTCTATTCTGCGTTAGGACGTGGTTGTTGTAATTCCACACGTAAGCAGCAGCACTGCATACAATCCATGGTTCATTCAACTCAATACCTAACTCCGCAGCACGTAGGAAACCCTTAGTGGTATTATCACTCAGAGATTTAATCCATTCACTGTAGAGGCACATTGAATGTTTTTTTAGTTATCTTGTATACAAGATACTGTACACCTTAATTATTCACTGGGTTTTAATTTGGCAGTATTTGTTTGGTGATCTTTACTGTAATATGTTGTTTTAGATAGTATTAGGTGTGTCTAGTACAGTCAATTATTTTAAAATCTGGCATCTCAAATTAGATTTAATAAATATCTCCACAACAGCTCAACACTGGCTTTAACTTGCTACATTCACTCATAAATATCTTCTAAGCTTGCCAAATACAGTATACTATTTGTTAGAAAAATACTGGAATATACAGCACATAATTATTCGGCTAAATACAACAAACTAGATAAATAGTAAATAATTCTAAAAACGAAAAATTGAGGCAGTTTATCAATATACTTTTACTCACCAGTACACAATCCAGTCAGGATCCTCTTCTGGTTTCTTAGCAACATAACCCTTAGGATGTTTACTCTTATCAACTGGAGGAATGGGTTTATCATTCAGTTGTATACCTTCTGATCTCAGGAGATGAATCTGGGCCTGGATATCAAGTATTTAATGTTATGGTTATTTGGTGAGAATATTATTATTGGTGATGAACTTCAATGCAAAGAAGGGCAGTCAGTCAATGATAATTTTCAGTTTGGTGAAGTTCACGATGAAAAATTATAACAGCTGTTATAATCCATCAGTGCCTAATTGTCATGCAATGTCCTATTTGTGTAAAAAGTATTACATGAAACTTGAATGTATAGTGCAGAAAACAATAATCCAAGACAGGTACCTCAGAATTCAGGAAGTGTATTTCAGCCAATAACCGTACAAGGTCTCTGTCTGAATGGGACACAACTGGTTCTACCGGTGGCTGTGCTGGTTGCTCTCTCTTCTTTCCAGGTCCTGGTGTTGCAACTGTCTCCCCATCTTGCAAGTTGCTGGCTTGACTTGCACTAAAAAATCAAAATCTATATGGTGAGGCAACATGTTTATCTTCTGTATTTTCAGTTATAATTAATAAAATGCTGCTTATAGTCATGAGTGATATCACACACTCATACACTTCCTTGGTTTATTACAGGACTTGAACTTCACAAAGGAATCAAGGGCAACAGCATAACATTATATGCTAAAGCCATTTTAACAAATTTGGCCTTGGAAATAGATGCCTTTTTAGCTAACAGTTCAAGTTATAATATACATTTCAAAGCAATAGAAAACAAATATAACTTTAAGATAGGACATCACACAGTGCAAACTAATAAGAAGGTACACTTCCTACATACACTTCTACTCTAGGTGTACTGGTAGCCTTGGGAATGTTCCATCTGATATCATCATAAAGTAAACAAAATCGGGATGCTACTCGACAGACATCCCATACTTCCTGTTTGCGAGCTGTCTTTGCCAAGTCAGCCCACAGACGAGCTCTGAAATCGAAAGACAGAGAAATGTAATTAATGTTCTACCCCAGCTGTGGACTCAAAACTATATGCAATACAGATGTATTCTCAGATTTGAATATGTTTTTTTTTTACCTGTCTCTGTCATTTTCATTGCCAAGTCTGATCAAGTGACCATCTGTTTTACTTAGCATTTTCTGGAAATGCTTAGCCTTCGCTCCAAGTTTGGATATTTGGGTTTGAACCCCTCGTCCACCAGCTCCTTCTATAATCAGAACATATGCACAATAATAATTATTATAATGAATTTTTATAATAATTATAATAATAGTTATTCAAAATTTTGTTACAAATTTGATAATAAGATTAACATAAAAATATATTTGCTACAATTTTACAATAACACTCAGTCAACTTTTTACAACTGCAACAAAAGGTGAGGACGATAGAACTATGACTGCATCTTAAAGCAAATGTCAATGTATAATAAATATTATTACCAATGAAAATGGTGACCAACCTTTAAAACTTTCACTTTCACTATCCAGGACAAGTAGGAAAGCATCAGGAGATAAAGCTTGTCCTGCTCTCATCAGTAATGCTCTCTTCATGAGAATCGTGCCAGATTCTGCACTCTTACGAGCCTGTTAAAAAAAATTACAGTAAAACATACATCTAAATCTAAAACAGAAACCTGTCAACACCAATTGTCCTTTCCCAGTCCTCTCTTCCATAAACATGCTTAAAACGTCAGTGTAATCACACTGTGCCATGTTCTATACAGGTCCCATGCAAGGTATACACCATGTGTAAAATAGCGTTTGTTAAAATTTGAACATGAGTGTGTGGCAACTGTAACAGTTGTAATTCAATCTCTATATAAACTTTTTAAGTTTGGTTTTACTGTACTATATCTGAGAAATATTATTCATAGCACTTGTTATGGATTTCTATCAAGTTATATTTACATTACATACCGGTACTAGTATATAAAAATATAATTTTATGATTTGAAAGGAAAGAGGAAAGAGACTGGTATAGTCCCCACAGTAACAAATTACACATTTACCTGTTCAATAATCATAGCAGCTTGGTCGATTGGGTTTTCTGGTTGTTGATACAACTCCGCTCTTAGTTTCAGTCTGTGTAGAGCGACTTCTAGCCTCTCTCTGTACTGCCCGCCATCATCTAAATAAATAGCCTGTGAAGACAGTTGAAGAAGTTTTCAACTTTATGTCACTATGATAATTGTTGATAATGTCACATAAGAGGGTTCGGCAGTTGCTGCACACAGTATATTGCCTCTTTCCAGTGACCTTAGAGTGAGCAGTGTTATCATTTTGTTTCCCTGTACCTAGTCAAGTTAAAATAGTAGACTAGATATGTTGAATGACCTAATAAGAGAATCTTAAACAGAGTGTGAAATTTTTGACTTTAATGTCTCGTTTCTGTACCTTTTTCAAATGATCCATAGCAACTGATATCTGTTCTTCGTCCTCTTCGCATTTTGCTAACTCCATGTGGATTTGACAGCGTAGTAAAATCAACAAACTACAGAATATAAGGAGATCATCTGTCAATTTTTGTCTGGTTTAGTACTAAAACATCCTTAACAAGACATTTTAGAAATGGAATAATGATTATTTGATATTACAGATGATATTGTGTGATACATGTAGTAATACAATAGAGATTTTGGGGGTTTTAGTGTCAACTGTTATTTTTGCATCATAATATTCTGCTGGTGGGGGCAATACCTACTAAAATCATCCTCAAAATATCTACCAAATCTTGAATTTGAAACACCATGAAATCCTGAAAAAATTGTAATTTTTGCAATTTAATGTCTGTCTATTTCTATATGTAAATTATGTGAGCTTAGCCTTAGTTTTACACATAAACAAATCTCTTCTGTGTTGTTTGTTAATAATTGAATGTATTCAGCTAACTTTATTACTGTATGTAATTTTCAGATTTTTAATTGTTATCTTCATTCCTTGTAGTATTATTCTTATACATAAGCCTAAAAACTTTTGTTGTTGTTTCCATGTCATTTATATTTTGCATATCATTGCAATTTTGTTGAAGAGCCACAAGTATTTTCTGTAATTTCTTCACTGCATGGAATACATAACCAAGTTTGTTTTCTTTAATATTGAATGACAGAGTAATGTCAGCTGCCTAATTCCATTTTGTATTCAATGTAGCTTGTCTGGTTGTTTTCATTTATTAAACATGCGTCTGCAAAATTTCAGAAAACATTTCAGTTTTATCTTATCTATTCATTCTCATATTACTAGCCCAGAGTTCAGCAGCTTATGTTAGAATTGGGGTTAACAGAAAATCAAATATTTTGTTTTTCAGTTCAATATTGACTTGTTTGTTTGTTTGATTGATATGAACCAACTTGAAATAAGCGTAAATGTTGCTGAAGTAAACCAAACTACGGTGTCAGTACGATTATCATAGTCCTAGGCTAGGATAATCACCGATAACATACCTATCAATTTTCTCCAATGCTTCAGCTACAATAGTTAAAGTCTTGCGTATATACTGCCTAAGGTTTGGTTGCAGTAATGGTAGACATAGATTCCAGTGTGTAACACAACCAGCCTGTATGATGTTAGGATCACCATGTCTTACAGCATTCTGTACGGCTTCTTCCAGTCTCTTCAGTGCCTGTATTCTTACCTATAATAATGGAGAGATATTGGAAGATTTAAGAGATCATTTTCGTTATTTCCACTTCTGCTAAGATTTACCTTGAGTTTTTCTAATTATACAATCAATCACAACACAGTTCATCTACAGAAAGTTGTTGTTTCAAATCTCTTGGGAGGTCCAAGCTATAATTTTACTGCTACATAGAGCAATTCAGGTCAACCTTATCCACTGAATGTGATTATTCTCAGCTTTGGAGAAATTTCAGATTGTATGAATTTAAGAAACAAAATGACCATAACTCAAACAAGTTGGTTTGAACTGTGAACAAGGTTTGGCTGGCAAAAACAATTCAACTAGTGAAAAACTTCTTTTTACAAACTGAGAATAGAGCTTGGCTATGCTGATAGCCAATATACTGGTAAAGCAAAATTGGTTCAAAAAGTGAAACAGTTTTGATGATAACAAATGCGAAATTTACTATGAATGGAACTCAGAAAATGTAAAAATCTTGAAGATTTTAAGATACTATGGTTTGACTTACATCAAAAGCAGACTTGGTATAAAACTCCTGCTTTTCTCCAAGATTTTTCACTGTCAGTTCAGCTTCTAAAAACTCCATTTCCAACATGACACCAGTATCCTGGAAGTAAAAAGAAATACAGCCATGTAAATAAATGTGTACTAGAAAGTATGTTAAAAATGACATAGAACTGGGTCATAGTTTGTACAACATTTTTCTACCTTTCACCTTTGAAATGTTCATACCAGGCCCACATTATGCTAAATTGGAAAAAAAAAAGTGTTCTTACTGGAGAAAAGATCAAGACTTGTAGAATTGTTGTATCACCTGCAGCCACACAAGCAGTTTTAAGACTTAGCTAAAAAACAAACACTGTCCCTGATACTGCATTATGGAGGTGAATATCAAGTTGTAACAATCAAAATCTGGTCAGTTTTTACTTACTTTGAAGGTGCACTGTTTCATGTTTTCAATGGTAACTGATGTCAGATCTGGTTGTTCATATTCATTGCATAGCCGTGCCAGTTCCAACAATAATACAGGCCTGGAGAATAGACAAGGAAATCCAAATTACTTTGCAATCAGCATTGCTGACACTGCAGGAGGGAAGACATTTCCAAAAGAGGAAATAAATCCCATATTTCATAATAATGTGATGCAGTGAATACAAATTAAACAATTTGAAATAAGCCTAGGCAGTCTAGTATGTGTATAAATGATGGAATAATGAAAAAAAAATGAAAAGTTAGTTAGCAAAAAAATGATGGTTTCTGTACATACAGGTACATGTAAGCAGGTATTGTGTGCACTTATTGTGAAGAATAATGATAGTCATAAACTGTATTTATAGAGAAGTGTGTGTGTGCTGGTTTGTGACAGTTCTCAAAGGATCAGAATCCTATGAGTTACAGTGCTATACGACATGATGGAGAAATATTCATCAATCACTCAGCGCACTGTACAGTAATGAGATTGCAAGCATTGGTGAAGGGGTTAGTTACCCTAGACCCAAACGTACACCCACTATTGTAAGAGCATGGTGGGAAGATTAAAGAAGTCAGGTCTAAGGTAGGGGGTGATATTGAGTGCCAGACAACAGTGCATATATATATAAACTATGAGTAGACATGGTATTTTCTTACACATCAGATTCAGTAATTTCACTTCTACTAGTTTAAGTAATAAGAAAAATATAAGTATTAAGAGTTATTTCATAGTACTGGTATATATAGCTAGGAAAATGTAGAAGTTAAAATGGCAAAAAAATGACACAAGTTCAGGTAGAAGCTGTATACACATTATAGATAATTATAATATGGTGGTGGCAGGCATTTAACATGTGTAAATAGCTTAGCTAGAAAGTTTGTGAAGTATTTTTATTGTTGATAAATTTTCAGAAAAAACACAGTGAGCAACAGAAGGACAGGTGTAGCATGTAGCATTAATGAAGTGTGAACATTAATCATACAGGAAGTAAGAATTTAAATATTTATTAACTCTGTTGAAAGCAAACAGTGTTGGTCACAGTTCATAAAACCAATGTGTGGTGAGTGAGTGAGTGAGTGAGTGAGTGAATAAGGGAACCAACATTATTATGTTTGGAAGTGTGCCACATACCCTAGACTTGCATTAACATAGTGCATCATGGGAGTTTGAGTGCTAGGGATCTAGGGTGATGAATAATTAGAATCATGATAAATTGTCATTAAAGTTGTATTGTCGGCAAAACTTAGCTGAAAGCCATTCCAATTTTTAGTAACTTGGCCAAAAAACAAAATCTGAGAGTTAAAACATTCACAAGTTATACTGATTGAAACCTGACACATTGAGTCGTTTATCGACTTAGTTATTCATTGTCTTCACTACAACAAATTCCATAATGCATTGGTGTATCATGAGTAAAATATAGTGATTCGAATTTAAAAGGGAGTACGCTAATGACTATTCAGAAACAACTCAAAAGGTAGGGTGTGCATCTCAGACTAGTCTTATCAAAAAATGCTTCACATCGAAAATTTATTTTGCAATACACACAACATGTAATATCACCGAACAGTGAACCCTGAGTGCAATTTCGTGACTTGATGACACCCTAAGATACTGAAAATTCAATCACTATTGGTGATATCTTGCGAAAACCATAATTGTTGTATTTTTTACAGTATACCCTGGTACATGTCAAAAGCTTCAAACAAAAGTTTGCAGACAATACAACTTAATTATAGAATGAATTCTTACACAGTGGACCCAGTAAGTTCTGTGTTAGTATTTTCACTTAAAATATTGAAACACATAAAATAGATTATTGCAATGTTTATAAAAAAATATCATAAAACAGTTAGTAAAGATTAATGCCTAGTATACATGAATTTATCACCTATCAGTATACATGTATTGCAGAAGTAAGACTAGAATGAATATTTTGGGCTTTGCAGCATGAAATCTTGTGATCAGAAAATAAATATTCAGTCAAATCAGAAAATTGTGACTCTAAAAATACTTGTTATTGTTATTTGACCACCTTTGTGTCAGACTTACCTGGACCTGTGAGCAATAAAAAAAAATATTGACTTCAATAAAAGTAAAGCTGATTCAGTTTTAGTACCTTAAACCATTTCACCCAAGTACAGTTCCCAGAAATCATGCAAGAAAATTGTCACAGATCTAAATCACTGGTTTCTTTTTTGTTTTCCCAAATGATCTTACATCTTTATATGAGAATGATATGAAGAAATTTGCAGGGTACACATGGTGTATATAATAAGATTATATAGAGGATTTGTAGTAGCTGCGTCAAATGTCAAATCTCCCTCCATGGATTACACATGTCAATAAAACATGCTGAAAAACGTTTTATAACCTGTGCATGGGTACAGTGTGGGCTGAATGTTGGTTTAAATCCTAATAGACATCATGATTACATTTCAGAATCAACAGTTACCTTATGTGAGATATACCTAGGGTGAATGTTTATAAAGCTACTAGTATCCAATGCATTCATTTTACTTGAAATATTGTTTTAACCTTTTAATTTCGCGATGGAATTTTTGTGAATTCAGAGGAAATCACACAATTTTGTAGTGAATATATTTCATTGCAGAGAGTCACTTAAATCATATCAAATTCATAAAAATTACTTGCAGTGAAACAGAGGTTTTACTGTATATACATCCAATTATAAGCAGGCTTAATCTTATCTGTTGGCTAGCTGTAAAGTAATTATTTTATGTGTAAGAACAATTATATGTGAAAATTGTCACATTTATGCATTTTTTACAAATATCTACGTGACATCAATAAGTATAAGAGCTTGCATGACCTCTGTGTGCAACATACACACACACACACACAGCACTATGTGCGAATGTTAATATTAACACTGTGTTTTACTTTTAGTGGACTCACATTTCACCACTGGTAATGCAGTCACCAGGCGTTTTACGACTTCGAGAGCTGGAACTATCTCGTTTAATCCTTAATTGACAGAGTGAGGAAAATTAAAAGTATACAGAAAGATAAAATATAAAATAAAAGAGAAATAAATATACTACATACATGATGTGTACAAAGTGGTTGGTGAAGTGAGTGAGTTTATTGGCAGACGTATTCAGCAGTTAATGGGGTTACAGTGCGGAGATATCAAGTGGAAGGCAATTTGTAGCGTAACTAGTAATAAATTATGTGCACAGTTTAATATTATAGAAACTAATGCCAAACTAATTGTCAAGTTCTAAACAGTGCCTTCCACAAGAGGATAACTGAAACAATCTCCATAACTTACACTGAGGTTTCAGGTAGTGGGGTTGAGCAGAACTCGGTTAAGCTCGATGTCTCACTTTGAACCGACGGAGGGGGGCTGCGAGGCTCTACTGATACCTCACTCCGGGGTGATTGGGGACTTTGAGAGCCCTCTGATGCCACACTACCAACTGATGGACGTCTCTCGCTGATTATGATATAAAGTACACATGCAAAGAGAAAGCCATGAGGACACACACCATGCAAAGATATAAAACATGCATAAAGACATATGAATGGAGAGACATGCATTAGAAGGAAAAAACACACAAATAATAATAACATACAGTGATTAGTGACAAAAATAAATTTATGAATTATGAATATTTTAACTCCCCTCAACTGAAAAAGCAGAATGAAACAATGTAATATTTTAGTGATATTACACACTGATAATAAAAAAATATTATAGGACTTTAGTGATTTATGTTATTCATACAGCGGAGTCTGATGGTGTTACACAAATATATCATCTACAATGCAATAAACATAATCTCATCCAACTTGTCATTTTCTAAAAACGACAAGTTACATGTAGTATATTACAGTGTGTTAAGCTATTAATCAACTATGTTCACTTGAACAATTGTAAGAATTCAGTACCAGCAATGGTTTACTTCAATGTTCACCCACTAATTCATCCCTTAATATCCCTTAGGGACGACGTCAAAAGATCGATGTCAGATAAAAAACTTAAATCCTTT